TCCTGCTAACTTACCTCGATCCATTGTAGATGGTGTTGCACTATGGTTTGTTGTCAATGGATTAAGACTTTATAGCTATAAATTTAAAATCATTAGAATTAATCCTAGGTGCTCCGAAATTCAAGTTATACCTCTCATACTCAACAATAATGAGCTTGAAAAAGTCAACATTCCAATACCTTGGAGTTATGCTCGATAAGAATCTTGATTGGGATAAATAATAGACAAAAGTACACGACAATATAAAATTAGTACCATAACTACTCAAATGCCTTAAGCAAATCAGACCACTCGGCTCAACCTTCTACAAGTCTATAGATCTTGTAGATAGTGATAGATAGTGCTACTGTTCTAATTTGTACAGTCCTGCTGCAAAAAATAAGATGCAGCATTTCCATAAAAATGTTCTAAACATTTGAATTGATATAATCAATTTGAGCAGCTTCAATATTAGTTTTGCCATATTGTCAGTTACTAGACAAGATCTGCATTAATATCCGTAAAAAGATCCTTGTTGACTGATGCCATCCTATAACCACTAATTTAGCTCACACCAACAGCAGAAATCCAAACAGATACCTCTTTACTCTAAACACTGCAAAGACCACCACCAATCAACAATCTTTTATTTAAAATTTATAAAAAATACCTCTGTATTGTTTGTGATGGTGTCAGCGACTTCCTGTTGCAAAACATTAGGAGCTCCACTGCCTTTTTAATACATAAATGTTTACCTGCATTTTTGGTAACCTTTTTTTTTAGTATTTAATGATGGATAAAATTGTACAATAAAGATTTATAAATATAAATAAAATAAAATCTCTCTAAAATCTCTCTCTCTCTCTCTCTCTCTCTCTCTATATATATATATATATATATATATATATATATATATATATATATATATATATATATATATATATATATATATATATATGTATGTATATATATATATATATATATATATATATATATATATATATATATATATATATATATATATATATATATATATATATATATATATATATATATATAATGTTTACTTTCTTAATATGAAAAGCTAATAATTTTTTTATAAAAATAAAAATGCCGAAGAGCTTGTAAATAAAAAAACAGAGTTAATTTTCAAATGTCGACTCAAAAAAAAAATTCTAGAAATTTAGATACACGCGCTTGTAACAATAGTTTTTCTATTATTTTATCTTGTGGAGATGAAAGTGTTATAATGTCTAATTAACTTTTTTATTGCTTACAAAATTTCTTTTAAATTCAGTGCAAATATTCTTGTGTTTTTTTTTTTTAATAAGAAAATCAAACAGAAATCTGTATTTCAAAAAATTATTTTATGCATATATTATAAAGCATTTGCATATATTATAAAACATTTGACAGATATTATAAAACATTTGACATATATTGACAAACATTTGAATATTCTTAAAATTATTGATGAATTTTTAGTTTTGAATAATTTAATTATGATTTTACATTATTGTGTTCATATTTTTTTCCTTAATAATATTCTAAACATAATTTAAACATTTAAAACATCAATAAAATTTATTAACTCTATAGTATTCATTCATTCATCCATTTAAAAACAAGTATTTTTGATGGGAGAAAAGCCAGGATTGCTACAGTATCTAAATATATTTACTAAAGTTTTTTTGCTTTTTTTAATTGAAAACTTTTTCCTTAGTGGTTTACTTATTATTTTGATATTATTTTATGTAGCAAATGTTTGGCCTTTCCAAAAAACACATTCTTGAGTATTTCTTAATGCAATTTAAGCATTTTAATGAAGCACTGTACAGTTCACATCATAGTTTGGATAGATTGTAACATTCCTTGCTTGTTTTGGTATCTATTTTAGCTCTAAAGTGTTTAAATATTAGCAAATATAGGAGAGATTTATACCAAAATAATCAGTGAAAAATGTTGCAAACTGAAATGTATAATGAGGCAGTAACTCTTGTTTCAACTTATTTGTTATTGGTTACAAAATAATAGATTTTAACATCAAGTTATTTTTCATGAATAAATGCATACATCAAATATGTACATCAAATTACTATTTTTTAAATAGATTTTTATATAAATATTTAAATATTTTTTAAATAGATTTTTGTGAATAATTAAATAATTTGTAAATTTGTTTTGCATCTGTTTTTAGTTCTTTTATTTAGCTAAGTGTTGATTCTGCCAATCAACTAAAGTAACCTGTGGTAGTACTGAAATAACTAGTTATTTAAATAAGTTTATATAAAAAACACCTGGTAACATGTTAAGTTTTTCAAAAATCTATAAGACCACCACTGTCTTCTAACATGTCAAAAGTGCACTCTTCAGGTGAATTGAGATATTTAGATATTTTATAGATTTGAGCAAGCTCCGCGAAAGTTAACAGCAAGTAATATGAACAGATATTTAAAAGAGAGAGATCATTACATTGTGACAATTTTGCATGCAAAAGTTGCACAAAAATCATATGGTAATGAGAAAAGGTAAATTTTTTTATATATTGTTTACAAATTACAATCATAATTAGGTATTTTGCAACTTTCACTCGTTTTAATTTAGTGATATTTGCAAAGAAATCAAAGTACTTGGGAAACTATGGTAACCAAAACTAACCTAAGTAACTAACAAACCTAAGTGATTGAAAATGTTTAAATAAACTTTTTTTTTTTTTTTAAAGTTTTTTTTAGTTCCTTAAATTATAATTGTTATTTAAAATTTGTAAGCAACCTAATAAAATAATATAGTAAAGATATAATAGCCTTATAGCTATGATTGTTTGGAGAATTTTTTAATTATATTAATATGTTTCAAATCAAGTCTAGATGCAGAATTGTATTAATATATTTATAATTTCAAATAAAGTCTAGATGCAGTATTATTAATGTGTTAAAATGAGGCTATGAATCAGAGGCATCAAGTTTTGATTAAAAGAAACAAAAAAGTTGATCAATTAACATTTAAATAATAAAAAAAACGTTAAAAATCTAAAGTTTTTAACTTTCCTTTAAGTTAAAAATGAAACACAGGGCTGGCATTTTTTAAAATGAAAAAGCTTATATCAGCATTTAATCAAGTTGTTCCAAGTCTGATTATTGAAAAAAAACTTTCAATTTTGATCGATTGAGCAAAAGACCTAAAAAACTATCATATTTGATTGAGCAAAAAACCTAAAAAAACTCATAATTTGATCATATTTGATCATATTTGATCATATTTGCAATTGACAAGGAAAATCCTAACTTGTTGTTCACTGCAAAGTTTTGCGATTTGTCAACAAAAACTTGAACCCAGAAACTATTCTGATGACTACATTACAAAAATGAGAATTATTTTGGTGCTTTTCGAAAAGTAAGTTGTAAAATCATGAAAAAGGTTTCAACTTCACAATCTCTTTGCTGGAAACGACTTCTCACCAAATTCCAGTGATTCCAGTTTATAAAATGACTTCTCACTAAATTCCAGTGATTGCAGTGATAAAATGACTTCTCACTAAATTCCAGTAATTGCAGTGATAAAATGTCAGTTACTAGTATTGTAATTCTAAAGATTTAAAGTAAAATTAATAGTTACTAAACTATAACTGCTGCTAGTTTATAACTAAACTAGCAGCAAAAGTTTTTTTGTTTTGACCTTCCCTCAATTTTATCCTGTGATATGGCTAATATATAATTATTGGTAGCACACTTGAGTGCACACTGATGATCATGTAGAAACAAAGCACCGAAAGATTTTGCTGAGTGGGGATCTTTAAAAACTTTTTAGATCAATCAGTAAGGAGAAATTTCCAGGCATTCAGTGCGGAGGTTAAAAACAAAAAGAAGGCATTTCCATGCACTTATCATTATTATCTCTGATAAATCTTTTATTCTTGTTATGCTTAAACTAATAGAGCTTCATCTGTTGCTTGGATCTAAAGTTTCACGTTGTCATCCACCACAATTCACAACTCATCCAGCGCTACAATAGTTTTTTGAGAATTTAAACAGAAAACAACTGAAATATCTTTATAATTCCAACTGGCAAAGGAACAAGGAACAAAGCAACCACTAAGAGTATGAAAACAGGCTGAAAAGGTGCTAAATTTAACAGCATAAACTTGATCAGGAACATTAAAATTATTTGAATAGAATGTTTGTAAATCAAGATAAGAGAATTAGCAATGAACCATTTTAGAATCAAAGAAAGTTATTTAATTATCTTTAAATTTACTATAAAGATAATTAAATAGTTATAATTATTTATAATAATGAAAGGTTTATTACATACTTTCATGTTGCAGGAATAAAAACTCTTGCTCCCAACTTTGTTCATTTACTTATTAATTGTGATTTGATGCAAAATTCAGTTTTCTCCTGCAGAAGGCATAACCAGATTTGGAATTAGATTTTGGGATATCCCAGTGAATACCAATAGTACTTTCAGGTGTCGAATACACAGAAGGGGACATTTATTAATTTTTTTTTGGAAAATTTCCCCACCCACCTAAAATTTATTAAGACCCACTTCCTCCCTTATTTATTTTCTTTTACTTGTTATTAACAAAAAAAATTTATCTCAAAACTAAACCGGTTTTAAAAATTAGAAAGTATATACTCGCTATAAAAAATAAATTTAAAAATTCCCACCCACCTGTTTATTAAGACCCTCCCCACCCCCTTTCCTTTTTTCCCCTCTGTTTATTAGGTCTAGACAAAAGTTCCCACCAACCCTTTTGTTCCTACCCCAAACTTTGTATTAGAGGATATTCTGGGGTCTTGATATCAAATGGCTTTTCATTTTTTTTCAGTTGTGTGCTGCATAGTCAGCATTTTATAAATACTTTTTATAACTATATTATACAAAATATATTGCTAGGCAACAACTGTTATCTTGCTAAGTTACCACACCACATAACATATTGCTAGGTTAGGTTAGCAACACCACATAAAAATTATAAAGTAACTTCTTTTTTTTTCATGCTTTTTACAAAAATGTAATTAAAATTATATATTATCTTTATTTATTTTTTTTTAGGTTTTTTTGCCCACCACCATGTGTATATTTGAGTGGAAAAGGTTGGAAAAAGCGTAAGGAGGAGAAAGGTGAAAGCTGCCAATTATATCCATTTGTTTTTACCAATATTGGATCGCCAGATCAACCAGGTTTTCAACAATATGATATCAATGAAAAAGTTAGAACTTATGTTAAAACATCCAAAATGTCAATATAATCATTTATTTAAAAATTTGTTAGACACTGACTCATTTTTATTTCATTGGGTTTAAAAATTGGGAAAGTGAGAAATTATAATTTTGTCAGTGCTTTAATTTCTTTTAGTTGTTAGTTTTATTTGTTATAACTTTGTTTAATAGTTTCTCAATTATTTCATATTGCAGGAAAATATTGCATTCTGTTCTGCAAAATCAATGTATATATCTGATGTAGATAAGCGTAAAAATTTTATAATACACTCTCAGCTTATATTTCAAGATGGAAAAAACTTGGGTATTTTTGATTCAAAAAGAATTAAGGTATTTAAGAATTTTTTCAAAAATTATATTTTTTACTTGTAAGCTAATTAATTGACAAGCAGCTCAAATAAAAATTCTTAATATTTTTCAAATTTTTAGATTTTCTTAAGAGTTTATTTTTTTCTTATAGGTTATATCAAAACCTTCAAAAAAAAAACAGTCATCTAAAAATACTGAATGTATGTTTATCTTTTTTAGATATGTTTATCTTTTTTTGATATGTGTTTCTGTTTTTATATTATATATGGGCAATATCATTTTTAACTTACGTTACATGTGCAACAACTTTATCAATTATTTGCCTATTTAAACTGTAAATTAAACTTTTAGCTATTTTGTATGAAAGCTGTTAATCTAAAGAATATAATGAGCTAAAAATTTTTGAGTTCGGCCAAAAGAGGGCAAACTTATTACTAAAAATGCCACTTAACCTATGTTACACGGAAAACGAGGTAAAAAATTGTTTCAACTTTTAGATCAGATTTCTGCGAATCAGTAAAGCGGTTATTAAAAACTGTATTAGAAATTTTCATAAGATGTTAAGAACTCTTTACTAGTTTAAAAAATATATAAAAATTTATCAGAAGTGACTGGTCAATGAAAATAAATGTTTTTTTGATACTATGTATTTAACTTATGTTACATCACTTAGGTTACTGCACGATTATTTTTGTGGGTTTCTATTATAGAGAGCTTTAGTTGCGTAACAAAAAAATTGCAAAAGCATTGAACTCATTCATTACAAATAATTAACAAAGGAAATTTAAAAAATTGATGGCACTCTTCCTAAGTGATTTTATATAACATTTATTAATTTTTTCAAATCAAAAACAGTTTTTCTGCAAGACCAAGAGTAACTTTAAAAAATTACTTTAGTATTACACTTTTATTTGTACTTAGTCATTTAAATAAAAAAATCTTTGGTTTGTTGAAGTTTTTACTTACACTTCTTTCGTTTACATTTAATATTCTTTCACATATATTATTTAAAAACTTTTTAATAATATATGTGAAATTTGTTATTTTCATGAAATATATTTTATAAAGTATAAAATCTGACCAACAACAATTTGAACATTTAAGCTCCATTTTCACGCTAAATTAATTCTGATCATGAAAATAAATTCATAGTTAAAATAACATTTTACAATGATACTTTTTTATCATGTGACAATGAGATAAACCTTAACTTTCAGAAGCATAAAAATGACTTAAATAAATTAATTTTAGTGCTAAAGGTATATTTTAGATAAACTTTTATGTGTCTACTCCAATATTCATTTGCTAAAAGTTGACGAAAAAGAGAATAAGATTTGATTACTTTTTATTTTCCGCTATGGAATTCCTCATATGTATATGTTTTTTTTATGTATGTTTATGTTTTACTTGTATATTTAAATAATTTGTTAATTAAAAGTTTATTGAATAATTAAGTTTATTATCTAAATCAATAAAAGGTTTTATTTTTTAATTTAATTTAATTTTATTTAGTAATTAAAAGTTTATTTATTTTAAATTTTATAGTATGTATATCTTCAAATTCAAATGTTGCATTATTTAATCGTTTGCGTTCGCAAACTGTAAGTACACGCTACCTCCATGTTGAAAATGACAATTTTATTGCAAGTAGTTTGCAATGGGGTTTTTTGTCAATTCATTTATGTAAGTAACTTAATATTTTTGAATTTTTGTCAATTCTTTTATGTAAGTAATTTTATATTTTTGAATTTTTGTCAATTCATTTATGTAACTTTATATTTTTGAATTTTTGTCAATTCATTAATGTAAGTAACTTTATATTTTTGAATTTTTGTCAATTCATTTATGTAAATTTTGGGGGAATTTGAATTTTGTGGAAAATGATACTTAATAATCTTTTTAATTCATTGTTATTTTGATTAAAATTTAATTACTTTTTACTTTTTTTAATAGTTATTTTTTTAAGTTCAACTTGCAATAAATTTTATGATTAACTTGTTAAAAAAAGTTATTTAGATATTTGCAAAAATACTGGTTGCACTTTTGCAAATTGCATGTGTATTTTTTTCTTTAAAAATTCAAAAGCTAGAAGGACTCACATCTTAACAGAAACACCAAAGAAAGATTTCCAAAAACAAAGTAGGAAAAGATAAGAAGAGACTAAAAGTGCAAGAAAAGAAAATAGAAAAATTACATCTTAAAAATGCTGTTTTGCAGATTGTTGCAATAAATTTTTTTTTTCAATATTTGCACCTTGGTTGCAAGTTCACAAATTAAAAAAGAAATGTTCCAACTAACTCTGGTCTCTCCTAAGTTCACTTTTTTTATTTTATTTAGTGAATCATTTAGTGTGTAAAAAATAATTTATATTAAACATATTAAACAAGTTTTCTAAGTTAATAATATTGGTTTGACAAAATTTAATAAAAAAAAGATTAATTTAAATGAAATGAAATTAATAAAACAAAATTAAAAAAGGTTTTATAAACAATGACTAAGTGAGGTAAAAAATAATGTAACATGATGCTTATGAAATTAATTATTATTATTCCTTTTTTTCTCGGTAATATTTAAATCCTGAGATTTTACTTAATTTTAAGTGAATGCAATTTTAGGCTCATACTCTTGGGTAAACAGTAGGGTGTAGATATAACTGAGTTGATAAGTCTTAGACAAAATATTTTATATGAAAGTTGTTTAATATTGTATTTGTATATATAAAATAAGTAATAACAATTTTAGAACATTTTGTATGAGTATATAATCTTTAACAAACGTTTCTTTTTAGGTAATGATAATGAACCTGATGGAGAAGAAGTTACTGTTAATGAAGGCATTGTGCATTATGGACAAACAGTCAAACTAGTTTTTGTGAAAACTAATCTTGCTACCCCAATGATGGTATTTTTTGTTGTTTAATTGATGAAAATTTTTCATATATAAAAAAACGGTGTGGAAACCATGTTCTTTGATTAACTGCATATGACAAAGCAATACAGAAACTATGTAACCATGGAAACCATCTGTCTTTAAATTTTTATGGGCTTCTTTTGTGTTACAATCGATGTTAAGTTTTTTCTAACATTAATGAGTGCAGCTTTTTGATTCCTAAATTATTTTAGGATTACAGCTATTCCACAGTAGATAAAGTAATTATTTCTAATAATTATATCTATAATATATAAAAATCTATATAATCTATATAAAAATAATAAGCTAATTGACAAAAACAATTTTTTCAAAAATAAAATTTTTTTCTTTAAAAGTTTATTAAATTTATATTCTAAGGTTGATATAATTTTAAGAGAATTTCTTGATAACATAAGGGAACTGTATTCCATTTTATATAAAATATATTTATATTCCGATTTGAATAAAGTTTAAAGTTCTTGTGTACAATCTCAAATAACCTTTTAAAAAAATGATTTTTAAATCACTCTGCTTTTTGGAATCCTTAATCAATGGCTCTATTATCAGTTAAACTAAGTGTTGCTTTTTCTAAAGTTCTGGAAATAGCTAATTGCTAAAGTCAAATAAGTTTTAAATTATCTTTTTTTGGCTAGTAGATGTCTAAAAATGAAAAACTTGTTGCAATCCTTGTTGCAAACCTCATTAAAAAAATATTACCAACACTTACTAAAGCGAACATCACAAAAAAAATACTATGAATACTTACTAAAGCAAACATCACAAAAAAATACTACGAACACTTACTAAAGCAAACATCACAAAAAAAATACTACGAACACTTACTAAAGTAAACATCACAAAAAAAATACTACAAACACTTACTAAAGTAAACATCACAAAAAACTACTAAAGCGAACATCACAAAAAAATACTACGAACACTTACTAAAGCAAACATCATAAAAAAAATACTACGAACACTTACTAATGCAAACATCACAAAAAAAATACTACAAACACTTACTAAAGCAAACATCACAAAAAAAAAACTACGAACACTTACAAAAGTAAACATCACAAAAAACTACAAAAGCAAACATCACAAAAAACTACTAAAGCAAACATCACAAAAAAATACTACTCGGTGTAGTTAAGGCACTTTTAAAATATTATAGCGTCTGTATGATATTTTGTTGACTACAACATATTTCCGTTAAATGGTCTGGTCTGTGAATTATAAAAAGACGAAAAGTATTAAAATTATAAATTTTGCGGAATCATAAAACATAAATGTTTGTAGCCAAAAAACCCAGACCGAATATTTTTTAAATCTTAAAATCATAATTGCTCGTTCAAATTTGAATAAGATTTTATATTAATACGTTTTTTAGGTAAAATAAACATAGTTTAAGAATATGATCTGTTCTGATCGTTTATTGGTAATTTTCCATAATTATAAGCTCTTTCTTGGTCGGAATTCTAGTATTTTTTGTGAAAATTGATAGAAATATTGTGTTTTGACAATTACATATAGTTAATATACGTCAGAACCGATTAGAGCTAGGATCAGTAGTAAATTAAGAAACTTTTTCAAAAAATTTTAACTAAATTCATGTTAATGCCGATGAGCGGAATTGATCTAAATACTCCAGAATAGTGTTCTTTAGATTCACTATTACGGGTAGTCAAAAGGTTTTGAAAATTATATAAAAAAAAGTAAAGTTTCTTTAAATATTTTAAAAACCTTAAGTAAAAAAAATTATAACATTTAAAGATCTTGTTTGGACATAATATGCTGACAAAACCATGCTAATTCCAAATAAAAGTATTTGAATATTTTGTAAATTGCCTTAACTACACTGAGTAGAAACATTAACCAAAGCAAACATAAAACAAAAAACTACTAAGAACACTTTCTATAAATTTTCAAAAATGATTATTAAAAAATCAATCTGCATTTTTAATTTAAAAATATTTAAATTTTCTTATCAAATTACTTGAATTCAAATTGTTTTGCAAAAAAACCTTATTTTCTGTGCTCAAAATCATCTCTACTCCTTCATCTTCTGATCATCTATTATCTACTCTTGTATCCTCTAGTTTACATAGTCATTAAAATTGTTTATTGCACAACAAGATATTGTACTGAGTTGTTTTAGGTTTTCTTTTAATTTACATATTTCAGATTATACGTAAAGTTGACAAACAAACTGTTGTTCTTGATGCTGATGATCCTGTTTCACAATTACACAAGGTTGCATTTTATGTAAAAGGTACCAATCGAAGTTATTTGAGTATAAATCAAGAAAAAGTTATAATGTTTCAGGTGCTTCTTTAAATTTTCATATAAAGTATAGATAATTTTTCATTTATTTTTTTGTTGTTTATTAAACTTTGTCAAATAGCTAGATGTTAATTTACTTAATTTAATTATTTTCTATATAAAATTATAAAAAAAAACTTTTTTTGACATTTAGTTTTTAAAGTGCTTTATATTGCAATAAGTTTCTTCAGTTTAAAGCATAATATTCATCAAAGTTTTTATTTACAATTTCAAGGCATCTCCGTGTTCCAAAGACCCAAAAAGAGATGTCATATCAGATGCTGCGTCATGGACAATTATCAGTGCAGGTGATTGAGTTAAATACCAAATAAAGACCAATTAGATTAGTTTACTCTGGGTTGATTGTATTTGATAAAATAAAGATTTTGAGTTCATTTAAATTGTACATCTCTATGTTTAAGTCATTTTAAAATTTTCTGTCTGATATGTGTCATGTACCCAGTTTAACCCCTGTTTTCCTGTAGTTTTTTCTGGATCCAAGCTGGGCACCGCACAAATCTATATATTTTAAGTACCTGCAAAAACCACCAAAATTATCTGAGTTGGGTATCTGGAACATATATATATATATATATATATATATATATATATATATATATATATATATATATATATATATATATATATATATATATATATATATATATATATATATATATATATATATATATATATATATATTCCAGGTAACCAAGAAAATTGCAGGACTAGAGAGATAATAAGTATGTGGGAATTTTTCTTAGGTACTTTTTAGGTAAAAGTGCTAGGTATTTTTACTTTTTTAAAAATAATTACTTTTTTAAACAGCCTTTAAAATTACCTTTTAAATTTTGAACCATGTAAATGGAATGTGAATCATTAATAATACTTAGCCTTTTGTTTGTAATACTTTAACCATAATAAAATTAAATAATAAATTGACCATTTTTAATTAAATAATTTTTTAGTTTTTTAGTTTTGAGAAAAACTACCAAAAAAATTTAAAATACTAGGCAACCTGCAATACTAAAAAAAAACTTTTTTTTTTATATAGAATCAGCTTCAAAGTCATCTGATCATCAAAAAAAAACTACAAATACAATCAAAAGAAAGAGTATTAAAAATGTTGATAATAAATAAAACATGAATAGTCAATAATTAACAAGTAAAAGTTAAACCCAAAACTACAATGCAAATTTATAAACAAACAAGTTAAAAAGAAATGAAAAAGTTGTATTTAATAAAGAGGTATTTGAATGGCTTCCAGTATTAAGTAGTATACCATAAGGCGAAGTCTTATTACCGCTTCTTTTTAATTTATTTATCAAAGACATGCCTGAAATAGTTAACTGTATCTATAAGCTATTTGCAGATGACAGTTAATTATTTGCTATAATCAAAAATACAATAGTTAATATCAAATTGTATTCCTGTTTTTAAAAGTTAAAAGTTGAAAAAAAATTGGTATTAAGTTTTAAAACTATATTATCTTTGCTGTGAAGAAATAAATAAATAAATTAGTTTATTTTTTAAAACTCTTTAGATTTCAGAATTTAAGAAAGAATTATGTCTGAGATGATTTGCTGTAAATGATGTGATTCAGAATTTACTTAACCAAGTTCATGAAATCTGTTGTTCATTATGCAAAGCTTAATGTTTCTAGATTGCAAGGCAAACAAAATTTTTCTTAATTACAGGGCAAACATTATAAGTTTCTAGGCTGCAGGTATGCATAAAGAAAGGAGAAAAGTATGAGAAAACAAATTTAAGAAATTTAGTTTTATCTATGTTCAAGGCAAAAATGAATTACAAACAATATAATACTATTGTTTGAAAAAAAGAAAGAAAAAAACAAGTTGCAGAAAAATAATTTTAAAAAAGCAATCTTTTTATTAAGATATTTTATATATCATTTTTTAAAAAATATATTATCTATTTATTAGATATTTATTTTAGATAAAAGTACTTACAGGTTTTGTGAAGGAGCTGGTCCAGTTCAAAGCAAAATTGCTCCAGTTCCATTTGTTTCTAATTTGCATGTAAGTTCTGTATTTTTTGTTGTTGCATAAACTTGTTTTTTCTTTTAAAATAAAGTATTTATATTGGCATTTTGTTATTTACAGTTAACCGGAGGGGGTGACGTTGTTACAATGGAGGTCAATGGTGAGAAATTTACTTCAAACTTAAAAGTTTGGTTTGCAGATGTTGAGGCTGAAACTATGTATAGGTATTTGGAAATTAATTGTTAAAAATTGAATAAATTATTATTTTTAATTGATTAATTTTGTTTTTTATAGATTGAGAACTATAATACAGGATAATTTATTTTAAAATATTAATAGTATTAGTAATTTACTAAATATTTATCAATAAAGAAGCTGAATAAATGTTGGCTAACGTATCTAAAGTGCACAGTAATTTATCATGCTGGGCAAATTATGAAAAAAAAAAATTCACAAAAATGTAAAAAAATTATAACAAATAATAACAATAACAAAAATAAAATAAGTTGTGGAGTAAAGATAGGAACAAATATTTTTAGTTTTTAGAAAAAGAAAGTCATTTTAGAAAAATGAATATTTTCTAAAATAAAACTTATTTAACAATGTTTGGCTAAATTTGACATTTGTCAAATTTAGCCAAACATTGTCAATAGATTGGTCTCTAAATGGAGAGAACAGCTTTTTTTGGTCAATTACTAAGTTTAAGGCTTTATAGATTAACTAAATGTAAAGCTTTATAAGTTATTTAGTAAATAAAAAGAAATGGAAATCCAATACTGGATATTTCTAGATGTAGTGAACACACAAAAGTTTTAATGTGTTTTATTTTGAAAGTGTAAAAAAGCTTGTTGAAAATTTTGCTTGATCAATTTTATTTCTAAAAAGCTTATTTGCAATGTAAAAATAACATTAATTTTTTTATTTTTTATTTAATTACTTTTTCTACTCTGGAATGCATTTTTAACTGATGTAATTGTACTATGCAGTTTCTAGAATTTTTTTTTGAAGATTGACGATTGATTTGGGTTGATTAAAAAGTTTGATTATTGATTTGAATTGATTGAAAACTGATTGAAGTACAATTAGGTTTAAAATTGAGAATTGTGTTTGTTATTGGTGAAGTGTGTTATTGGTAAAGTGAGTTTGTTATCAGTGAAGTGTGTTTGTTTTTAGTAAAGTGTGTTTGTTATCTGTGAAGTGTATTTGTTATCTGTGAAGTGTATTTGTTATCGTTAAAGTGTGTTTGTTATTGATAAGGTCTTGTGTTTTTTCTTTTCTCTTATCATTTGTTTCCATTGAATAATTTTAATCCAGGATGTAGTGATTTTTTTTCAAAAAATTTATTTTCTTTCACTTTCATATTTGTAGTTATTGTCTTTCAAAAGAAAATATTTTTTTCAGTTTTTCAGTCTAACATACTTTTAAAACTGTTAAATAGATTCAAAGTATTGTTTGATATTTTTCATTGTTTCTTATGAAATTCTTTAGTTTTTTTGTTGCATACTCTAATTTTTTTTTAAATTAACATAGCTCAAATTTTAATTTAATTTTAAAGAATTTTTATTAGAATCTTGTACTTCTTTGTACTTTCAAAAGATATATATTTTTTTTATATAAAGGAATATTAAATTTTTGTAACAGGCTTGCACTTATGCAAAAAGTTTTATAAAACTAAAAAACTTAAACATATTTTGAATAAAATATGCTTCAATACTTTTTAAAAATCTGCATGTTATTTTAGGTAAAAGGTTATAAGTCAAATAAAACGTTGAGTTATGTTGACTTTTGAGTTACTTTTGAGTTACTCAAACTATATTGGGTTGCTACAACAGGGTTGCAATATGATAATCAAAAATACACATGAACATTAAAAGTTACATACAACCTTTATCAATAAAATCAAAAATATGAACTTCGTACTCGCTTTTTTTAGAACCAATAAAGGTGTTATCGTAGGTTGATCACTGAATGGATAATAGGAGCACATTGTAACTATCAAGGCCTTCTAATTTAATAAGTAAATCTTTCCATCAGTAGTGATTAATCAACTAGTCATCGTCCACCATTTCCTTCTTTGCTTCCCATACTTCAAAATGCTTTAAGACTTCCACACATCAATGTGTTATTGAAAATTGTTTCACTTTTGCAGTATAGAACATTTCTTTACTGAAGCTTATATCAGATTGATTGTCTATATCCATCCATTTTTGATGTTTAATGGCAATCAGCATATTCAGAGTGACAACATATCCTGTGTCAACTCATTGCTAAAGGTCAGTGGCATTTAGTAGACAATACTGAAGCAGTTCTTTAGCATTAGCTATCTTTAAAATCTTTTCTATTACAGGTATTTGTACCTTAAAATGTAGGTGATTTTTTGAATAGCCAAAAAAAATTTTGTTACAATAGCGGAAAACTAATCTTCAGAATATGAACATACCTTATAGTCATTTAAATTCCTTTGGGGTACTTGTTGCACTTACACTCTTTAATGAATCAGCAATAGCTTCTCAAAATAAGGCCTATTTTACCATGTTAACCTTAAAATGTAGGTTTTATTTTATGGCAATAACTTTGGAACAACCTTTTTATTTCTGTTGAAAGTTTGTGTTATAATTTCTTAATTGTTTTATGTTAAATACGAGTAATTAGATTGTATAAATAGCTTTTATATTTTCAGCTGTACTTTATAATGTAGGTTTTTTGTACTTTAAAATGTAGGTAAGATTTTTCAAAGGACTAAAAAGTTATATTTTAAATTATTCATAGTGCTTTTTAATTTTGTTTTTACAGTTAAAGTATATTAAAATGAGACTAAAGTTCGATCTTTGGTTAAGACCTAAAACAAAATATCAAGCAGCTTCTTACAGAAACAAAATAGAACTGAACGAAAATATATTAGCAAATGCTGTGGATTATTGTAAAAAAAACAACTGTCGAGGCTACAAATCTGTTAAACAAGGTGGTTATAATGTTGATCCTAGAACTATAAATCGCATTTTAGATGGTGCTAAAATTGGTGAAAATAAAAATCATTTTTTTAATTTTGACAAAGGATGAAGAGAATGCAGTAGTATTGTATGCAAAAAATAAAAACAAATGTCTACAAGGTATTACAAAAAAAGAACTGTCCACAGTCATTTTAAATATAATAAAGTGTCGTATGCATGCTAATAAAAACCTGAAAAATCATTGTTTATTTTGCAAGCTTTTGCTTAATGCAGAAAAGGCAATACTCAAAAATAAACATTCTTTCTGGTCAAGATTCATGGCTAAGCACCTCAAAAGAGACAAGGGAGAGTTTCTATGAACCGTGCTTTAAACTGCTCTAGAGAAATGGGTGAAAGTAATTTAAACGAACTAACCAAAGAACTTAAAATTACAGGTATAATGAAGAACAGTGAAAAAACTTCAGAAGGAGTGTGGTACGGTATAATAGATACTAAACGCATATTTTATCATGATGAAACTCCACAATTTGTAAGCTTTGGAGTTGACCGGAATGCAAGTGGATTAATGTTTGCTGGAAAGGGTGATAGTTGCTATTAAATGATCCGTGAGATCAGAGATTGTATTACTATTCACCCACTTGTGTCTTGGCCTGGGGATGTAGTTATTTGCCATGTAATATTACATGTATAATCAGCAAAAAGGAATAACCAGCAAAATGGCACCAAAATCCACTGTGGAAAAGATTCCAAATTTGCTTATACCAACTAAAGAACATGGAGTACAAGATCACAATTCTCTACTCGATTTCTATAATTTCTTTGATAGCAAGTTAACAGAGAAAAATATAGAGAGACCTGTGGTGGTACTAACAGATGGTCACTTTTCAAGGTTTGACATAAGCGTCCTTCATTATTGTCGTAAAAAACAAATTCGTTTTTTTGTTGGTCCGCCAGACACAACAGGTGTAACACAAATGTTAGATCAAGTAAATCATAGTTTACACCATCATTATCGTCAATGTAAATCTAAACTGTTTTCTAGTATGATGGCAATTGATCGTTCTGGGTTTATGGAAATATTAGGAGAGATATGGTCATCATGGACAACAAAAGAATCTTTAATCAAAGCAGCTAAAGCAGTTGGTATTGCAGAAATAGGTCTAAATGTTAACTGGATGCGAAAAGATAAATTTGAACAAGCAGCAAGATGTATAGCAACTGTTCAGTCCTCTCAGACCCCAAAGCGATGCTCTGTACAAAAAGTCCCAATTATTTCATCCCCTTACGACATTAGAACAGGTTCTCGTGAATATTACAGAAAAAAACTTGAAAATGCATATAGAGTTATCCATGATCTTACTGAATCTCTATTACCACTTGAAAATGTTCCAGATTTGCTACCATATTCAAAGGTTACCCCAAAAGAAACCTCTAAAATAACCATAAAAGTAACACAAAAACATGGATCAATAGAGGGGAAAAGGTCTTAGAAGCAGTCGCTGAAAAAAAAAAAAAAAAAAAAGACGAGATGAAGCAGGTGAATAAAAATAATCGTGCAAAAATAAAATAACAATTTATCAAATGCAAAGATGGTGTTGTGTATTTGGCTACAGGCAGTGTCCTATTAGCAATAATGTTTTAAAATCAGATTGTAACAAGCAATCCTGCAAAGTTGGCGGTATTAAACCAAAACTGATAGTAGTCTCTGAATCGATCATCAATATCAACTCTTGACATTTTTATGAACATTTTATTTCTTTTTCTGATTAAAGTTGTGTTTTATTTGTTAATTCAAAATTTGTTTGTTATTTGATATATAAGTTGTAAAATTTAAATTGGCAACGAAGATAGTATTTTATCGGTTTTAAAAAAACCACCTTAAAATGTAGGTCTAGTGTTTTCGATGGTAACTAGAATAGTAATAGGATTTAAATCTTAAATTTAAGCTATAGTCCTTGTACTATCATTTCCATGTATAGTTTTTATAACTTAATATTTTGTTTTAAATCTGAATTTTATGTTTTCAGCGAAAATATGTGTTCTAATTTTTAGAAAAAATACAGAATATCATCAGTTTTCAGAGTATACTTTGAATGGACTTATTATTTTAAATTATATTCTTTTATGCCTTGGTTACTTCCTCGTATAATATAAACCTTTTTCCAATTGATTTGAGAATATAAGAGACCAAAATTCAATTACCGACATTTTAAGGTACGCATACATTTTAAGGTACAAATACCTGTAAATTGTTTAGCGAAAGAACAAATTTATCAAGTTTTTGTTCTTTTACAAATAAAATGACCATTACATCACACCAGCGCTTACAGATGTTTTAGTCCAACTAAGCATTTATTTAGAAGTAAATGTAAATATCTTTGTGCAATGCTAACTTTTTGTCTTTTTAAATATGTTTTCCTTGACCTCTAAATGACTATTGACCTCTAAAAATGATGGCTTTTGTTGCTCTCCCTCTGGCTAAAACATAATTTGAACACTTTTTCCGATCCTTAGCCTGATTGGTAGATCAATCAGGCTAAGGATTGGAAAAATTTGCCATAATTTAACACTCCTAACCCCCCCCCCCCTTTCCTTGGTAGTTCTGCTTGCTGTAATTTATGTTCTAATTTAATAATCCGCTAAAACCGGTATTAAAAACATCTTCATTAAATGTTTTTTTTTGTTGAGAGTTTATTATAGAAAAATTGCTACAAGGAAAGTCTTATAGATAGAATTAACGTATTTGACATATCTAGCTCCCCGTGACCCATTTTCCGAGTCCTTATTTGTTTTGTAAATAAATGTAGTCCTAATGAAAGGTTGAAATTTTTTAGTTTAATTCTTAACTTTGGAAGATGTTAAACTGAGACTTTTTCTTTCGAAATAAATAAACAGGGTAAAAGTTCCAAGTATGCGAAAAATGTACGCATGTTAATTTTTTTTGCTCTAAAAGCAATATTTCAATAAATTATTTACACATACATACATATATACATAAATAGATAAACTGGTATGTAACCAGTTAATGTATTTATAATAAACTATAAATACTGTAATAAACTGGTAATAAATAACTGATAAAAGAAATGCAGGTAAAAAATTTTAAAAATTGAAAATTTTAAATAGTTTTTTGCATTATATAAATTATTTTTTAAAAAAATGAATACTTTTTTATAATCTGCACCCAAAGCTGCATAAAAAAAAAAAATTATTTCAAGAGTGAATTTTTTTATTCAGTTTTGTATTTAAATAAAAATTACTTGTAATTGCTATTAAAAGAATTAATATTTAAAATTAATTAAACTTTGCTCTTTTGAAACAACTAAATTATCGCAGTTACTTAGTATATGATTTTATAACAAGTGACCAGCAATCATTTTTTAGAATTATTTTAATATTTTATTAACATTGATAGATCTTTTAATTTTCTTTTAATTTTCTATTATTTTAATACTGTTTTTGATTTTTGCAGGAATGACGTTTAAATCTCTTTTTATTACTTATTTGATTGTTTTTTTGTGATAACGATTATTTTAGAAGTAGCGAAACACTCATTTGTCTAGTTCCTGATGTTTCCTTGTTTAAAGATCGATGGAAATATAAGCAATCGGATTTTAGTGTGCCTGTTTCTTTAGTAAGAGATGACGGCGTAATATATCCTACGGATTGTACGTTCACGTTTACTCCTGAACTTTATTTTACCGATGAAGCTGGTTTACATGAAAGAATATCTCGCTATGTTACTCCCACTAAACTGCTTTAATTTGTGCAGATTTTTTTTTTATGACTTGTAACGAAAACTGTTGGCTTTGCTCTCTATGATTTTCTTTAGTTTTACGTTTTAGGATGCAAAAAGAAAATATTAGCATAGTTAGATTTTAAAATGACGCAAATTATGTAAATATGAAAAGATGTTTTATTTATTTTTTTATTAAGCGCATTTACAAGCATCAGAGTAAAAGTTTTTTTTAACCTTTATTATTGTATATTATTGTGTGAGAAAAAGTTGTAGTTATCGTATTATGTTATGGTTGCACATTTTGTATTATAATAGCATTCCTGCATTATGTTATATTTACATTTTATTTTTGCATTTTTGGTGTAACCAAAGCTTTGAGCAAATACGTTTTTGCCAAGTAATAGCAAAGTAATTTAAGTAGTGTATAACGGTGTAGTGGTATTTTAGTTGCAGAACTTATTTATGGTCAATATCACCTCAATTACACAAACAAGAAAAACTGGAAGAAATCGTTAAAAAAAATTTTAAAAGGAGTAAAATAATACAAGTAACAAAATATTTCCGTTTGATATCATAAGTTCTAATATAAAGTTTCACTTTAGGTAAAAGGTTTCTTGTATTATTACTACAGTTATATATATATATATATATATATATATATATATATATATATATATATATATATATATATATATATATATATATATATATATAACCACATTTTTTTAACCCAAAAATTTTTGCTCATTATAAAAATCAAACTTTTGCATAACACTTTTATATTATCAACTTAATGATATATTAATTAAAAAACCAAAAAATTAAAAAAAAAATTCATAATAGTATTTTATTTTTAATTCAATCAGCAAAGATTAGTGGATTGAATTACTTCAAAGGTATATCAGCCAGTTTTTTATTTGATACAAATTTATGTAAAAAATATTCTGGCTATCACTGTAGTAAGATACTTCAATTTATTTTTTACGGGTGTGAATTGTATAGAGAACCAACTCAGATTCAGAGATAATCTTTTTCCGGATATTTGTTTCAACTTTTAGTATTCCGGATTTCCTCGTAAATACAAATTTAAATATTGTAGAGTTGCCTTAATTTGAACTCTTTCATTTTTATTAGAATAAAACGTCTTATGGCTATATTTTGGATTTTTCTAGTAAAACGTCTTATCTTCTACGTTTTGAGAATTCTTGAAAGTTATCTCTAAAAAATGCACTTTCATCATTATTTTAAAGCTTTTATTCGTAATTTTTCTAGGTGATCGTACATCGTGTTAATATTAATTGTACCTGGTATACTACACTGGTTTGGATTTTGCGGTTTTTCGTGTCTAATACATTCGGATTTAAAATACAATATAAATATAAACTTAATTTGTAAGTTGCTGTAAGCGCGATAATGCAGTGATTTATCAAAGTAGTCCAAGTTTTCCTTGATCGAAATTATAAAGTTTTCCTTCCTTAATCAGTAATAAAATTAATGAGTTTAATAAAATAGTTTAGACCTAAAGTAAAATAGTTACAACCATAATTCTTAAAGTTAATATTTTATTCAGTGATTTTTTTGAATAATAAAGTAAAAGGATGTCATAATAATTAAAGATTTTATACAATTTATTATTTGTAGAACTTAAAGACGTGATTAAGGAAGTAAAGTGCTCCAATTTGAGAAACCGGTTCCCTTGATTGAAACAAAATGGCGTCTTGATAAAACCGAATAAATTTCCAGTAACAGTGCAATCGATCAGATCAAATTGAAAAGTATAATATTATTGTCTTTCTTGATCATAAATGTTTTCGTAGTTAAACCGTCATTGTTTGAAATTTATTTTATAAGTGTTCCATTTACAGCAACTATGCCCTACATATTTTTATAATATACTTATTAACATTTTTAGTCATTACTGATGGAAAAATATTTTCAAAAAAGTTGCAAAAGCCATCAGCTTAAAGCTAAATTAAAAAAATATGTTAAGGAAATAAATTCCGGATTTTTATTGTAAAATGTTTTACGGATTTTTAAAATAAGACCTGGATGATCATTACAGATTATTCTCCAAAAATTTTTTATTTATAAAAAACAAGATGATATGATAAATAAATATGCTTTAATGTTCAATAAAGAAAACATTTGGTTTATAACTCTTTATTACTGGTAAGCTAAATTAATTGAGAAAAAAACAAAAAAACCCTTTTTTAGGTACTAAAAGTTTTTTTTTAATATGCCCAAATGTAAATGATGTCCTGTGTAAAAAATTTTTCAAAATATTTATGCGTCACAGGTTATTAACCTATTTCAATTTTTTGCAGGAGTGCGACGCTTAGTGGTCCGAGAGGGCCACTACAGTCAAAGAGGCTCTCAGCTTTTTAACTCCATAACACAAACCTTGGCGAATAAGGTCGCTGCGCGAATTAGGTCGCTGCGCAAAGTTTCGAAAAAGGTATTGAATATGGAAGAAGTTGCATTAGCATCAATAAGATATGGGGTATCAAATCGAGCAACTGCTGCTCGATTTGATACCCCATATCTAAATTGAAAGTGATGAAACAATTAAAATCTGAAAATGATAATGTTGTAAAAGATGGAGTTCAATGCATTTTATTTGATGGAAAAAAGGATGAGACAAAATGTTCTTTGATGGGAGAAAATGGAAAATTTCACCACAGACTTGTTCAAGAAGACCATTACTCGGTTTGTGCAGAGCCAGGTGGTTTATATCTGTACCATTTTACAAATGATAAAGAAAACCGATATGAATGTAATACCCCAGCAGAGCACATAGCAGAACATATATATAAATGGATTATTGAACATGGGGTAGAATCAACTCTAGTTGCTGTAGGCTGTGATTCTACCAATCTTAATACAGGTAAATGATTGATAATAAATACAGGTAAATTTTTAATAATAAATGTCATACATATATTTAAACACAATTACTTTTTAGGTTGGAAAGGAGGTATCATTCATTTTTTAGAAAAAAACTTCAAACAAAACTTATTTGGATAGTTTTCGCTTTGCACACAAATGAACTACCCTTGAGGCGTTTAATGTCAATTATTGACGGGAAAATAACTTCAAATAACAAGTTTTCTGGCAATATTGGTGAGCTTGTTCCTATTGCCAATGATCTCATAATTTCCACTGTGATTCAAGATATAGATGCTGATATTAATTTATTAGATATTGATGAAGATATTTTAAAAACTTTATCGAGTGATCAAAAATATCTATACCGAATAACAAAGGCTATTGAAAATAAAATAATGACCAAAAATTTAAAAGAAATTGAAGTTGGTTCCCACAATAACGCACGCTGGTTGAATTTGGCATGTAAACTTTGCAAAATTTGGTGTTCAGAGCATGGACTAACTAAAAACGATGTTGAGAATTTAAAACAACTTGTACAGTTTTGTGTTGGTGTATATTCTGTATTATGGTTTGAAATTAAAGTAAGAAATGTTTATATGTAGTTTGATAATCGTCTATTTAATTTTTGAAAAATGAATTATGCTTAGGTAAAATATAAATGGACCAATGGACCATACCACATTATCAAACAGCTAGAACTTGTCCGAAAAATGAACTTAAATATTCAGCAAGCAGTTTTGCCCTATGTTTGCTCCTCTGCCTGGAATGCTCATAGTGAATCTATTCTACAAGCACTACTATGCAGCAAAGATAAAGAGGAGAGGAAGTTTGCAGCGAATAAAATACTTTCAATAAGGAGTTTAAGCTCCCAAGGAATTACTGCTGTTAGACCAAGAACTATCTCAAATATAAATATTAATGTTGAAACTAATATCGAATTGATTGATTGGAGTAATGATATTTACAAACCTTTGCTCACATGCAAGATTGGTAAAGAAGAACTTATTAAGTTTTTAAAGTCCCAATGGAAGTTCCAGAATTTCCTGTACATGGGCAATCCATAGAAAAAATTATGAAAGAAGTTACAAGAGCTTCTAGTATAGTTTATGGACAGGAAAGACGAGACGGATTTATAAAGGCAATAATAGCTCACAGAGAACTTCTTCCTGTTTTAGAATCTAAACAGAATTTGCTTAAGCTTTTTTAAGCAATAAGTTTATATTTATTGTATATTTAGTAAAATTAAGTTTACTCTTGCATTGTGAATGATAAATTGGTAAATACTGCAATAAACAATAGTTAATGATTTTTCATGTTTCTAATTGGTTGTGCCTCGCGTTGTGGTTAAGAAATCCTTTGAAACTGTTTTTCTGCATTGCATTCACATAACATTCTTATGGAAGATATTACAGCAAAATATATCAAAAATAACAGTTTTTGTAAACTTTTATAATTATAAGTTTTTAAGCTAAAATGATTATCTAGGTGTCTAGTGAGGGGTATTTGGGAACGGGGATTCCATAAAAGATGTTTTTGAGTCAATCGGAGCAACCGCTCAAAAGTTGTAGCAAACCGCGTATATAGCGTTTTTTACCCAAAAACTCGATTTTTTAGGTCAAAATTTGAAAACTTAAAAATAATTTTTTTTTTTTTTTATTACTTTTACATAAGGGCCAAGACATTTAAAAATCATATGGCCTAAGCATTTACTGGGAAAATTTGAAAAATGACCCGCCCTTGTCTACATATCCAATAAGTTAAGCTAGGTGAGACCAAGGACGTATTAATAGATGGACGTTTAACGTATTGTTTAAAAGCCAAGGTATCCACGCTATTCATTGTTACAAGTAACAATGGCAAAACAATAGAGAACAGATGTTAACTATTTTTAACTTGATTTTGCGTCAAAATAACGATAGTCTCGCCTAGCCTAAGAAATATTTAAACATTCCATAACACTTAAAAACTCTAAAAAGTTTTTAAATAAATAAAACCTTTTCATTATATGATCTATAAACTCAAGCAAAATATTTACATGGAAAAAACTTAATTTTTTGTTTTAAATCTGAATTTTATGTTTTCAGTGAAAATATGTGTTCACTGATGATATTCTGTATTTTTAGAAAAAATACAGAATATCATCAGTTGTCAGAGTATACTTTGAATGGACTTATTGTTTTAAATTATATTCTTTTATGCCTTGGTTACTTCCTTGTATAATATAAACCTTTTTCCAATTGATTTGAAAATATAAGAGACCAAAATTCAATTACCGACATTTCAAGGTACGCATACATTTTAAGGTACAAATACCTGTAAATTGTTTAGCGAAAGAACAAATTTATCAAGTTTTTGTTCTTTTACAAATAAAATGACCATTACACCACACCAGCGCTTACAGATGTTTTAGTCCAACTAAGCATTTATTTAGAAGTAAATGTAAATATCTTTGTGCCATGC